TGACTCATGTCCTCAGCCTCCTCTGCAATAGGAGTGGCCAAGTAAGCCATCTGACCAGTGAGACAAGCACAATACACTGGTGCAGTTTCAGGGAAAGCTTATGCTTTCTTGGTAAAAAGGGACAGACAGCCTTCCTCTGTCTTATTTTCATTTTTTGAATGTAAATGTGATATCTGGAGTTAGGAGAGCCAACGTGTGACCACAAAGTTATAGGCACAGGGGCCATCAGCCAGCATGCTATGGACAGCAAAACACTAAGTTAGACAGAGACTTGAGGGTATACTGAGTAGCTGATAATGCCAGAAACCTCCCATCTCAGACTTCTGGCTATATGGGGTCATAAAAGAATGCCTGTATTTGTAGAAAGCACTGTGGGTCAGGCATTCTGTTACTTGCAGCCTACAGCATTCCTACGGGATCCACCAGGTGGCTATAAAGCTTTACAGTGTGCAAGGGACAGAATATCTTGGTTGAGTCTTTAAAAAAAAATCCTGTGGGATAGAAAAAGCAGATGCTTTTATGTAAGAGGGCACCAAGGTTCAGAAAGACCAAGTGGCTTGGCCAAGATCACAGAATGGGGGGCAGAGGTGGGAGCCCAACATGAACTCTGACTTCCAACCCACTGCTCTAGTTTACCACACAGCCTCCTGGGGCTTGCAGCAGGGCCCATGGCTGCTGAGAAACAGAGGTGGAAAGTATCACATGGCTTGGACTTTGATGTCTCTCTGAACCTCAGTTTCTTCATCCCTAAAATGAGGATATAATAATATCTAATTCACAGGGTACTGATAGAGTTAATGAGTATCTCCATGTCTAAAGATTTTAGTACACATTGCACTGCAACCTGGGCAACAGAGACCTTTCTCTAAAGGTCTCTCTAAAGGTTTTAGCATGGTGTCGGGCATATAATAAGCACACAAATGCTTATTAGATGATGATGATTATATCATGCTTTGTTATTTATAGAACTTTGACATGCTCTAAAGCTATAGCTAGCTTATATAGATGGTGTGGTTGAAGAGGCATTAGGGAGACCTAGATTCAATCATGGCTCTATTTTTTTTATTTTTTTTTGAGATAGGATCCTACTCTTTCTCTCAGGCTAGAGTAGAGTGGTGTCACCCATAGCTTGCTGCAACCTCAAACCTCAAAGTCCTGTCAAGTAATCCTCCTCCGTCAGCCTCCAAAGTAACCAGGACTACAGACCCACACCAACACACTGCATTAACTTTTCAATTTTTTTGTAAAGGTGGGGTCTCTCTCATGCTCAGACTGGTCTTGTCTGGAACTCCTGGCCTCAAGCAATCTTTGTGCCTCAGCCTCCCATTGCTGGGATTATAGGCATGAGCCACTGCCTCTGGCCACACCTATACTTCTTTTAACTAGCTTAATTTCTTAATCTCTGTGAACTTTAGTTTCTTCATCTATAAATGGAAATATGAGTAGTTACCTCAACAGTTGTTCATAAGATTAAATGAGGATTGTGTGTGTATATATATATATATATATATTTTTTTTTTTTTTTTTTTTTTTTTTTTTTTTTTTTTGAGACAGAGTCTCATTCTCTCACCCTGGGCATCATAGCTCACAGCAACCTCAAACTCTTGGGCTCAAGCAATTCTCTTGCTTCAGTCTCCCAGTAGCTGGGACTATAGGCACCCACAACAAAGCCCAGTTAGTTTTTCTATTTTTAGTAGACATGGAGTCTCGCTCTTGCTTAGGCTGGTCTCGAACTCCTGAGCTCAGGCAATCTAACATCCTCCACCTCCCAGAGTGCTAAGATTACAGGTGTGAGCTATTGTGCCCAGCCTAAGGACAAAGTATAATGCTTTAGTGCTGTGCCTAGTACACAGTCACAGCTTGGCAGACATCAGCTCTCCCTCTTCTCTGCTGACCTCTACCCAGCAGCCATGCACAGTGTCTCTGAAAATACAGCTATGTGGCACTGCCACCTTGAAGATCCAAGGGCAGGGGCTACTAGACCCTGAAGTGTGTGTGTGTGTGTGTGTGTGTAGGTTGTTAGAATTAGGTGATGGGGAGCCAGGCCTCATCACAGAGGATTTATTTTCTTGATTTTATTGTAAAATATAACTACACTTATGAGAGATGGGGGAATCCTTCATTCTTAATGTCTATGTTATTCCATCCTATGGCTATACCACCATTTATTTAATCTTTTTCTAATCTAGAAGTATTCAGGTGTTTTCCATTTTCCAGTGAATATAATATGTGTAAATCTTGTATGGGTCCTGTGATGATTGAATACTTAAAATGTGAACATGCTCTTGGGCTGTGAGGGACCAAGCCACATCTGGGATGTAGGGAATAAGCTCAAGGGTGAGTTACTCAATGTATCAGTCATCTTAGCCTTACCAATAAATCTGTCTTCTGTTCCTGCTCCCTCCCCCCTCGCCATGCATTGTTACTTCTCCATAGCACCTTGTATTGCACGATATGATTTTCTCAATTTAACGTAGTGTTTATTTACTGTCTCTCCTTATTACGATGTGAAATTCCGTGAAGGCATGGATCCTTCTGTTCTGTTCACTGATTCATCTCATATGCCTAGAATAAGTATGGAGCACACAGCAGGCCGTCCTAAGTGTTTGTCGAGTGAGTGTGCTCTCTGGATGAGAGGCTATCCTCAGGAA